AGTATACTCATGTATCTACAAACACACCATTGGAAATACACGTTTGGTTGTTAATATATGCAAAGGATAATTATAGCAACATGACTGGTTATATTAATTATTGTTATTCACCTGGCTATGTTGATTGCCTTTGATTATATTCATATATGTGTCACATGGATTAATTGCAACAAGAATATGAATATTCATGGGATCAATTACACACTATTAGAAATACACGATTTGGTTGTTAACATATGCAAACGTTAACTATAACTTCATGACTGGTTAGCTACTCACATGTCACCATATTCCATCCCAAAAGAAAGGTCCGCAGACCGCCCTATAGGATGATATAAGGAGGGACAGGTTACGATGATACCTATAAAATAGTAATCACCGTGGTTATTAAGGGTAAACTGGGTATAACAAAAAATTTATTAATGATCTTTTTTAATAAATTACATTTTAGGAAATTATATAAATATATTAAATACAATTTTTTTCTCTCTCTTTCTCTCACTTCCACAATTTTTTAGCCAGATCTCTCTTCCTTCTTTTTCTCAATCTTACTTTGATTTCGTTCAGCCAAACTAGTACCGCTGCAACAACAAAACAATAAATCAATACCAATTCATTAAAAAAATACTACCATTGTACAAAACATCAATATCATTCGAGAAATAAAATTCTACCATTTCACAAAACACCAATACCATTGCAGATTTAATCACTATCAATGCGACAAAATCAATACCAATGTGACAAAATCAATACCAATGCAACAAAATCAATACCAATGCGACAAATATAATACCAATGCGACAAAAACAATACCAATTTGAAAAAACACTACCACTGCGGAAAAAAATCACTACCATTTTTTAAAAAAAATCACTACCATTTAAAAAAAACATACCAATCCTTAAAGATGCTGGAGGTCTACACGGCAACCCTAGGCGCGCACGGGACGACGGGTCTAGTCGGGGCGACGACGATGATGGAACAGACGATGGAGGTTGCACCGTTAACCATGTCGCAAGAGGAACCGACGAGCGCAGAGGAGATGACGACAGTCTGTGGGGAGGCCTGACGCGACGTCGAGCCGAGGGAAGAGGCGGCACAGGGCTTCCGATTTGCATTGCCGGAGATGAGGGTGAGCGCGACACTGCTGGGATCGCCACCCATCCGACTGGTGGCTCTCCCGTGGCCAGAGAAAAAGGCGCGGAAAGAGTCGTTGGACAAGCAGGCGACGACGGATGAAGAAGCAGAGCTGTCGGCGAAGGAAGGCGGCGGCGTCGATCTCCTCTCTAAACCCATGTCGTCGCCGAGGAAGAAGCTGACGGACAAGGAGGCGAGAGAGGGCGGTGGCCCTCAGCCTCTCGCAAACCCTAAGCCATCGTCGGGGAGGGTGAGAGCTTGCGGCTATGACGGGTTTGGCTGTAGAAGTAGGATTAGGGTAGAATATATAGAATAATCAAGTGTGGTCTTTTTTTTTCTTCCAAAATTACTCTGAGGCAATCTTCACCGTAAGATTAAAATAAGAGGCAAGAGAAGAAAATAAATGGTGGATACTGATGTAGCCACGGTGGATACTAGAAATCTAGTTACCACCGTAACGCATTCTTGATATAAGGGTAATAAATAACTAGAATAAATTAATATAAAATGTATTAGAAGTCGGACACCATTGTAAATTAATAAGAATAATAAAAAATGAAACTGAGTTTGGATAGAATTGGCCCGATCAACTAATATGGTTATTAAATAGTATATTGTATCCACGTTCCACCTGTTGTACCCACAAATAGTGAATCAATTAATATCCACAAGTAAGTAGGTTATATGTTCATTGTAGTTATTAAATCTGGTCATCTGGAGGGGAAATGATTGAGAGATAGAGGAATATGTCCTTAGGAATGTAATTCCAAATTGCAAGGGGGAAGTGCTGAGGTTTCATATGATTAAGAAAAATAATAATGAGATAGTTTTGTGTAGCTACTAGCTAGCTAGCAAGATTTAGGCTTGGGAAACAAAATATTGAATGAAGGTCTTTCAAAGTGATGGTGGAAAATTGGAGTTTCGTGTTGGGGAGTGGAAATGATTGTTTTTCCAAACATTGGTTTAAAAGAGATGGTTAGGGCCTTAGGGGAGATCTTCAGAGGTAGTGGTCAGCAGGCTATATACATGATAAATACATTTAGGACGAGACGAGTATGATTACGGTTTCGGGTCGAGTAATATGAAATCTATACTTAATCTATGTCTGGTTATTCTATAATCGAATTAGTTGAGTTTATCCACATCGACCGGTTTGTATTCGGCCACGAACTAGTTTGTATTTAGCCTTTACCCCCCAAAATTTCCAAAACCTAAAAAATTAAAACCCACGAACTACCCCTTGTCCCCACTTTATTCTAACACACAATTTTATCCTGAAAAGTTTGATCATCTTTCTTATTAGAAACTCACATTTTCAAGAACACAAACATACAAAAAAACCTAACATAATTTTGAGAATTACTATCATTCTGTTAAAAATTATGAGTTAGTTTGTGGACAAAATCGAATCTGTAATATGACTAATATCCATGGTTCTTTTTGCTCATCAAAGTTGTAGTGATTTTACTGGTTGCAATTCTTATTGTTAAAAGAGTTTTTTCAGCTTTGCGTTACATCAGAAACGAGTTTTCAAAAACGAATAATTATTCCGTTTGTAAATAATTGTCTATGAAAATATATTTATAAAAATATATTGAGCACTATAAACAGTGAGTTTATTTTTATCAACTCTATTCCGCTCCGCTGATCGGACGAGCACAAAACTAATTTGTATTATTGACTTCGAACATTTGGGCTGAACCACGATAAAATCCAATGGAGGACATCGCATTATTTATGGTCAGTTCACTTGGAGAGAGAGAGAGAGAGAGGAGAGAGAGAGAGAGAGAGAGGCAGTGTCAGGTAAAATAAGGGTTGGCTAGGGATTGGAGCAAGCGTAAGAGGCGATCGTCAGAATCAAATTGCGGGGAGAGTGGCAGTGCTAGTGGCGCAGGCAGAGGCAGTGCAAATATATATGTGCAGCAGCACAAACAGAGTACTGATCCCATTCCCCAGCTGATCACAAACATCTCTACAATGACTGTCCCTCCTCTCCCAAAGTTAATAATAATAATAATAATAATAATAATAATAATAATAATAATAATTGTTATTATTATTTTATTAAGGTTCAACATCACCACCGACCGGCAAATTAAGTAACATCAGAACCCCAAACTCTTTTTAAGTATATACGTACTCTAATCTGGTAATGTGGTCTCATTTAGGAATTGGGTGTATAATGAAATTATACACTATTGACCGAACCAAGTGGTATCAATAACAACGCTAATGTGGATGATTGACAGAGATAAAGAAAGTGATATTAATGAAACCGGTTTATAATGTTACCTCGGTTTAACAAGTGGTATGATTTGATCGGGATACAATCGGTTTATATTGGTTCATACCTGTTTAATATAACATGTAAAAAAGTGAATAATCATTAACATTTAATGAATTTAAGCATATATAAAAATATATTTGAACACGATTTACTTACGTTGTCCATTCATTTTTAATAAGATACAAGATTATTTCAAACAAAATAACAAATACTCGTATTTAAATGAAATATTTAACGACTATAGCAAAATATTTATAGTTGGATACAACAAATAACATCAACATTTAACTTTCAAATTCATGGAAAAAAATCACAATTTTATTTTTTGTTAATTAAATTCACTTAAACGACATCATCTTGTTTATAGGATGGAAATCGATCAAGCCGATCATACCACTGATATTCCATTTGGTATCATGACCAACACTTGCTATACTAGCTAGGTTCAACTGCCCAACATTCCACCCTTGTGACAATCTGGTCTATTTTATTTATTCGCATATGATCTATATTCATAAACCCAATTCCTACCACTTTTTGATAGGAATTGTAATTCCCAAAACTTAGGCTAAATAGAATTCATTTCTCAACTTTCTTATCATTCCAAACATAAAATATGGAGTTGAAATTGGAAATGGAATTCCAATTCTTGAGTTTTTTGCCTTTCCAAACAGACTGTAAAAGGAGGATGTGACTAATTAAATATGCTGAATTGGAGTTGTGAATTGGGTCTTCTTGAATAATTGGGAGAGTGACTGAGTGAGATTACAATACGAATTGGAAAGTAGACTTGGTCCAATAATGTTTGGACAAATCACAGAGTAGAGATGTATAAAATGAAAGATCAGGTTACTGCATAATATAAAGTATGAACCAAACCAAACCACTTGTAGTTGTTTATGGTGAAGATCAAACTATGGTATTGGTTTTGATATGGTGTTTTCAAATGGTATGGAGTATTTTCATCTTAGAGCACGAGGGAGAAGTGGGAAGAAGGAGGAGTGGAGTGGGGTTGTTGTGCCCTTGTGGCCTGTGGGGTAATGGTAACGTCGATGGTAATGGTAAATGGTGGAGGAGGTGGTGGTGGTGGGGGGTGTCCTCGTGATCGGCGAAGGGGCAGCCCCCAGGAGGAACAGCAACAGCACCAGCAGAATCAAATGTTTCATTATTATTATTATTATTAGTTTAAAATGAAAAACTAAAAACTAAAAGTAAATAATAATAATAATAATAATAATGAGGGAGAAGGGAGAATAGATCCCATAGAAGACTGTACCCTCCCTGAAGTCACGTGGCCATCTTTTGACTACCATCCCCACTCCCCAGGCCCTGGACTCGACTCCACAGGCACACAGCAGCACCCCTCCAACTCCAGGGCCCCACCACCCTTTTTTTTGCTTTTTCTCACGTATAAATCCCAACTCCCTTCTTCCACCCTCCATCCCCCAAACCAAACTTGCAACAACAACCCTCCTCCCACCATCGCCACCACCACCACCACGTTTTTGTTCTCTCTCTTAGCCCGTTAACAATACTTCTGCCGAGCTTATATATTAATATTTATCCGGCCGGGATGATGCAGCGGTGCAGCAGCAGCGGCGTCGGAGGAGGCCCGTGTTCCTGCGGATCCTATCACTGCCCGCAGAACACCGCCACCGGCTCCTCCTCCTCCTCCTTCTCCATGCTCTTCTCCCCGCTCGATCACTACCGATCCTACGATCATCACGATCCTTCACCACCAGCTGACAACTACTACTCCAACTCCAACTCCTACAACAACAACAACAGCAACTACTATAACTCCTCTTCCTCGTCAGTCGACTGCACGCTCTCTCTCGGCACCCCTTCCACTCGAGCCGACGACCACCGCAGACCCTCCTCCCAACACCACCAAGACGGCCGCCGCTCCGCCGGCGGCTACGTCTCCAACTTCTGCTGGGATATTCTCCAAGGCACCAAAGCCGCCGTCACCAAGTCCCCCCGCCCGCCTACTAATACTAACAACAGCAACAACAACGGCGACCCTTTGGTTTCCCGCCGCTGCGCCAACTGCGACACCACCTCCACCCCTCTCTGGCGGAACGGCCCCAGAGGCCCCAAGGTCCGTCCCTTTCTTTTTATTTATTTATTTTCATTACATATGAACATTGACGTGTTAATAATAAAAAAAATTGTTTATTAATTAATTAATTTTGATTAATGCAGTCGCTGTGCAATGCGTGTGGAATTCGGTTCAAGAAAGAGGAGAGGAGGGCGACGGCGGCCACTGCTGTAAGTGCAGGCGGCAGCGGTGGACAAGCCGACCACTACGGCCATCCGCAGCAGCAGCAGAGCTACTACGGATACGGGTCCAATACGACGACGTCGTCTTCATCTGCCTCGTGGGCTCATCAGTCGCAGAAAATGGGGTGTTACTCGCCGGCGGGGGAGTTCAGGTTCATTGATCAGGACGGCGAGCGGGACTACCAGTATCAGAACTCCGACGCCGCCGGCGTACCTAACTTCCTGTCTTGGAGATTGAACGTCACTGACAGACCGGGCCTGGTCCACGACTTCACCCGGTGATCGATCAGAGCCCACAACCCAAAAAGAGAAAGGAAAAAAAAAAGAAAAATATATAAAAGATAAAAAAAGGGGAGAAAAGAGAGAGGCGAGTACTTACTACTACAACGTTAATGGGATGGGGACGCTGGAACCGAAGATGTTTGATTTTTGGTGATGGTGACGCTTCTTTGGTTCTACTGGATCTCCTCCTACTCGCTCGCTTTCTTTCCCCTTTTTTTTTTCTTGATTTCTTCCCCCCACCACCACCATCCTAACCTCGAAACTTATATAGTTAATGATTATTTAATTACATTTTCCCACTTTCATCTGCTTTTGCTTTTTTGTTATTTTTTATGGATGCCTTTAGACAGCCGTTAATGTAATGTGTCCGGTTTTTTTTTTTTTTTTTGCTGTTTCGTGTAGCTACGTTAGAATGCAGGGGGAAAATGTGGGCTAACTCTGTTTTATGTTTTAGTTGTTTTTCCTCCTTTTCTTTTCTCCCACTGATCACTTTTGTTAATCTTAAATCATTTTATATATAATTTATTTTTGCTACGTAGTGATATATTTCATGTTTATTTATTTATCATCTTCACCCAGATCAGTTTCTCTGTTCATTTGGGCGTATAGAATGAGCAGTTTTATAGCTTGGTGGAATTGTGGCGAACAGTCTCCATGTTTATTAATTAATAGATAAAAGAGGGAATGCAATATGTTGGGGGTGAAAAAATGGTTAGGATTCGAGCATGGTACTGTTTGAATAACAAAGATGAAAAACACTATACTAATCATCAACACGTACTAATATATTAACGTTGATTGTGATTAATGTTTGGGTTTGAATTAATAGGGGGGGAGAGAGGGGGGAGAAGTGATGAAGAATAATAGCATTGGGCAGTGAAGTTTTTCGTTTTTTTGTTTTGGGGGGAAGGGAAGAGGGTGCATGATAGTATTTACTAATAATTAATTCTCAATGTAATTTCCAACAGGGCCAGAGAAAGAGAGAGAGAGAGAGTTTTGGAGGTTCCATGAAATTCAGAACTACTGGACTGGGGCGGGGAGAGAACAGTTGAACTGATTGTCCAATTACCAGATGCATGTGACCATCTGATCCAGAGTGCAGAGAGAGAGAGAGAAGATGAATGATGATGATGATGATGATGGTGATGAATGAATGAATGAATGTGTGTCGTGGTTGTGTTGTTTGTTTGTTTGATGTTTTATTTTTCTCTGATCACCAGACATGCGATACTGTAGCCTTGTTTCAGACTCTGACCAGCTGATCAGTGATCACATCCTCTCTCTCTCTCTCTCTCTCTCTCTGGTCTCTGGGGAATGAGGTTTGTCCTAGGCTAGCTGTTTTCTCCTTAGTTTTGGAGTTTATTATTTAGGGTCATTTGACCGTCAATTTGGCTTCTTGCGTTGCGATCGCCTACCTTCTTTCTTTCTTTCTTTCTTTCATCTCCCTTCCTTCCAAGCTCTCGTCTCCTTCGCGTTGCGACTGCCACCAAACATTCTGACACCCACTCCCCGCTGCCATTAATGGCTCTCCCTCCTACTCACTGCACGAATTGGAAAGAGGAGAAAACAAACTCAAACTTATGTAGCGCGAGTTTATCAGAAATCCTCCTCACCTTCTAAGTTTCTAGGTCATAAATGAGGAATTTTACAATGCTATATAGTATTGGTGCTATAGGTTTTTGTTTTTATGGTACAACTTGAAATTGTACCTTTAACGTTATCGTACAACTTCAGATTGTACTTATACTTTTTTACAAATTCTTTTATGGTACAACTTGAACTTGTACCTTTATGTGATGATACAACTTCAAGTTGTAAAGTTGTATCATAACATGATGGTACAAATTCCTTTATGGTACAACCTAAACTTATACATTTAATGTTATGGTACAACTTCAAGTTGTACATTAAAGCACCAATACTACATAGCATAATAGAAGTGGTAGTTCATAATGAGTTTCTAAAAGATAATAGTAAGTTGACGGGTATCGGATAGAGTGCTAATACTTTTTTAATATTAGCAGTATGTTATCATAATACATTTAGCGTATTATAGTAACTACTCACTAATTAATAGGAGCAACTATATATCTTTCCTTCTGTGGCTTCTTTTATTTGGAATTTATAGGAAAATTAAAGTTTGGGGCCAAAACTTAATAGATGTTAATATTTAGTATTTAAAATTAATTTTTTTAATATAGTCTTAAAAAATTGAGATAAAATAAGATTTTAGCACCTAAATTTTTTGTGTGTTACATTATTCATACTGAATTTTTGAAAATTTTCAAATAGGTCCAAGTTTATGAGGTTTTTAGTATACTTTAAGAAACTTGTAATATGCTTTATGAGGTTTCTAGTAAGTTTTAACAGACTTGTGGTATGCTTTATGAGACTTTTGACATGCTTCGGGAACCTTGTGGTATGCTTTAAGAAACTAGTGGTGTGCTTTCATATACTTGTGATATGCTTCAATTAACTTTTGGTAATGCTTTTATGAGGTTTATCGTATGCTCTAGAGAACTTGTGGTGTGCTTAAAAAAACTTGTGGTATGCTTTATAAGTTTTCTGTTATACTTGCTTGTATTTTTGGTGTCGTGAGGTTTTTGTATGCGTTATAAGTTGTCTAATATGCTTTATGAGTTTTCTGGTATACTTGATAAATTTTGGGGTGTGGTGAGGTTCTTATATGTTTTATAAGATTTCTGGTATGTTTTATGATATTTGTGGTGTGGTTTGTTGTATTTATTGTTTGTGTTTTGTGGTCCCCAATTAATGCAAAACATACACTTGTATCCCCCAGAATAATGACAAGCATGCTCCTCTCTTTGTAAATCTGCATTAATGACAAGCATAAACTCTTGGTATAAAAAAGTCACAAAAATAAAATGTTTCTATCCGTCGAAACTGGTGTTAGCACCATCTAACAAATTGAGCGTTACCAAGAATATTTGATGATTTAAAAATTAAATAATAAAGCATTTCCAGTTTATGAAGTAGTTGTCATGTAAAACATTCGAGAGCTCTCTATATGTGTAGATGAATTGGAATTCCGGGTGGTCAAAAGCAAATGAATCTGCATAACATAAGTGATGATACAACTTTAAGTTGTAAATTCTTTTATAGTACAACTTAAACTTGTACCTTTATGTGATGGTACAACTTTAAGTTGTAAATTTGTACCATAACATAAGAGTACAAATTCCTTTATGATACAACCTGAACTTGTACATTTAACGTTATGATACAACTTTAAGTATACATTAAAGCACCAATACTTTATGGCATAACAGAAGTGCTCTACTCTCAATTCAACGACTCAAAATTTGTCGTCGTTTTCCCCCTTGAAATTACTAATCGACTTTGGGACTTGCAAGTTGCAACTACATATATTGTTTTATATTTCATGTGATTTCGTATGTAGGACTCTTTGATTTTTCAATACTTTTGTATTGTTTTTATTTGTGTTTTATGTATATTAATTATTCTCCCTACAAGTTATAAACTTAACTTATTGAAATATTTCCCCTAGGGTTGCTGTCCATTGTTAACCAGCCCCATCTATTCATGGCAATGGTTGATGTAATTTGGCTAATTTGGAGATCGCGTAATTGAGTTGTCTTTGAGGGAAAAAAATTTGGGATTCCATCGCTGTTGCGTCAATATTATCAGCAGTACCAAGAATGGGTGCGGCTCCCGGTGGACCAGGCTCATCGTTTGTATCCTCCACAACCTCCTTCGGGTACGACCACTGTGGTGCAGTCGGTTACCTATATGTGGGATGGGGCAACCAAGCATGGGTCTCATTCGGCGGAAGGGATCGTGATTAAAGATCTCGCTAGGAATATTATGCTGACTCGTGGAGTGTAGTTTCCTGATGATGATAACCCTTTGATGGCTGAGGTGTTGCCTCTTTGGGAAGCAGTGGCATGGTGTCAGGAGTTGGGCTTTCAGGATGCTTGTTTCCAAGGTGACGCTCAGATCATCATTGATAAAATTACTCAGCGGGATGAGAGTGATGTTCAGATAGGGGGGGGGGGGGTTCTGGAAGAGATCATTGGGGTGTTTACAAGTCATAGTGCTCTTAAAGTTCGCTTTGTATACTAAGTACTTAAATTTGGGAAAATGAGTGAACTCCTAATCTCGCCCTAGCTCTCTCTCCATCTCTTGTATCACAAAACGGTTAGCTAAGCTAAAAAATACATGATGCATGATAATATTTAATAAAACAAAGCCCTTCAAATGAATCATGAAGACGGTTCCAGGATTGAACTGTGGTCAAAATTACTTTTTCAAGTATAATAGAATGAAAATTATCATAACTTTATTCCTTAAAATAATATTTTCTAGCATTGTTTGATAAAATTATATATTAGCTCTCGAATTTTTTGTATTTTCAAGGGGACATTTTCAATCGTTCGACTAGCTAATCCATTAAGGCATTCTTGTGTTTTAGAACGCAAATTGGACTTTTAGAGAACAAATAATATTTTAACAACCATGTGCGTATATATATGGTTTCGTCTGCTATACACTAACTTTTAGGCATGCTATGCACCCTCCTCATTCCTTTTGAACAAGTTTTACATGTCAAAACAATTTCAATCATCACTTGTGATATGATGGACAAGAAAATATATGAATTTGCACAAAAGAATTCACAAGGTACTTTGATGTGAACACTTTTCTGGTTTAGGGTTAGTGCTGAGGGTTTGGAATTCAGGATTTAGAGGCGGGACTCATATTTTAAGGTTTATAGTTTAGGTTAATGCATGAATTAGTTGTGATCCTATGCTATGACATCATATTATACCAAAGCTACCAATTAAAATTCTAAATTTGATGTCTTGATTATATTTTTTTGGGTGTATAGTTTTGCACTCATTTTTGTGAATATTGACCAATAACTAGTATTAGTATTAACTAATATAATTCAATTCACCATTATACTTATAATCTAATAATCATACAGCTGATTTCTGGAGATTAACTCGTTGCCCACTCACCACTTCATATTCATAAAGTATTTCTATTAGACGGGCACATTCAGTAGAGGAGGCTCGGAGGAATAGGTAGGAATCATCCGCAAAGAATAAGTGAGAGATCAGGGGAGCTTCTCTGTGAATACGCAACCCGTGAAGGCTAGAGTTTCTAATGGCATTCTCTATAAGGGATGAGAAAGCTTCTGTGTATAGAGCGAATAAGAGGGGGGAGAGAGGGTCCCTTTGGTGGATGCCTCTTTGAGGATGGAAGTATCCATGGATAGACCCGTTTAAGACAATAGAGAATGATACAGTTGTCACACATGATCTTAGCCATTTGAGCCATTTATCTCCAAAGCCTAGGCCTTTCAGTAACTCAAACACGAGAGGCCATTCAACTCTGTCATAAGCCTTTTCCATGTGTATCTTCAAAGCCATCCATTTCTCCTTGCCTTGTATTTTGGTTTTGAGAAATTGCATCACCTCTTGTCCAATTAGGATATTGTTTGTGATAGATCTATCTTTCACGAAACCATTTTGGTTAGGGCCCACAATGAGAGGAAGGAAATGACTCAGCCTATATGCTAGAATTTTAGCAATTATCTTGTAGAATACTTGGCAGAGTCCTATAGGTCTCATTTGTTTCATGGTTTCAGCATTTGGAGTCATGGGTATAAGCGTGATCAGCGTATGATTAAAGTTATGCAACAATCTTCTCGTATGAAAGAAGGAGAGGGCAACATCACATAGGGATTCTCCAACCACATCCCAAAATGCTTGAAAGAAGATACCAGTAAACCCATCAATCCCTGGGGATTGATAAGGTCCGATCGAGAAAGTAGCCTCTTTTATATCCTTTCTATTAACTATTGCTGATAAGCATGCATTCATACAATCATTCACTTTCCTCTGGAGGCCCAAACTTAATATGAAGTCATGAACTAAAGGTTGATTAGATAGGAAGAGTCTCATAAAGTATGTAACAGCCACATTGACTTTAGCTCCTTCCTCTATATGAACTAAGGCATTATCATCATTGAGGTAAAGAATTGTGTTCATCCTTCTCTTCTGGTCTGTAATAGTATGGAAGAAATGAGTATTAGAGTCCCCTTTCTGAAGGTACCTAACCCTAGATTTTTGTTTCCAATAAATCTCTTCTTGCAGGTAGGAAGATGATAACAATTGTTCAAGCCCCTTAATCGCCTCCCAGTCAACAGTTGGAGCATTTTTGGTTGTATCAATGGCTAATCAGCTGTTACATTTAGTGAAAATGTCTTAGACTTGGAAGCTACTCGCCTAGACGGGTTACTTGGTGTGTCAACGATTGGAGCTCATGATAGATATCTTGGACTTCCATCTCAGGTTCATAGATCTAAAATCCAAACTTTTCAGTATATTGAAGACTCTTTAGCAGCCCGAATACGCCATGGGAAATAAAAAAAAACATGTCTTTGGCTGCCAAAGAAGTAGTCATTAACGCAGTTGGGACAACAACACCTATTTTTGCGATGTCCTGCTTTAGACTCACTTCTGATTTGTGTAGAAGGATGAACGGGCAACTCTCCACCTTTTGGTGGGCAAGCCAAAACAAAGAAAAAGGTATACATTGGCTATCATGGTCTGAATGTTGTTTCAGCAAATTTGAAGGAGGATTGGGATTTAGAGACTTTGATAGGTTCAATGTGGCAATGCTAGCCAAGAAAGCTTGGAGACTTATCTGCGACCCAGATAGTATTCTTGCTAGAATGTATAAGGCAAGATACCATTTCACTGATCACTTCCTGCTAGCCCTCCAGGGGGCCCGTCCCTCATGGGCTTGGCAAGGGATCTTGCAGGGTAGAGATTTATTGAGTAAAAGTTTTCGTTGGCAGGTAGGATCAAGATCTAGGATAAACACCTTACTCGACCATTGGCTACCAACAGACCCTCCATCTAGCCCTGTGTTGCTAATTGGCGCTTCACTAGATCATCCTATGGTCTCATTTCTTCTGGATTCCAATTCTATGGAGTGAAAATTAAACTTGCTTAAAACCTTATTTCATTCTGTCACGATCGAAAAAATCTTATCCATCCCTCTCCCATCTTCCCCCCAAGAAGATAAATTGATTTGGCACTATGACAAGTCTGGTCACTATACAGTTAAATCGGGGTACCATCTCCTTTCGGCTGGTTTAAGTTCACCCATGAACTCCCTTCCAGATTTTTTTAACACCAAGTTCTGGAAATTCATGTGGAATATTCCAATACCTCCTAAACTCAAAATTTTTCTTTGGAGATTGGTGCGTGGATTTCTACCAGTTAAAGGAATCCTCCTTTATAAGAAAATTATTTCATCAAGTATCTGCCCCGTTTGCTACGAGGTGAATGAGGACTTCAAGCACTGCTTCTTTGACTGTAGCATCACTAGAGAACTGTGGACATTATCAGACCTCGACCATATAAGAGATATGATGAAGGCAAGTTCTATGGATCTTGCATGGAGAAACCTCTTTTTCACGCCCCATATCTCCAAGAATGATGTAGCTTTCATAGTCTTCTTATTCTGGAAAATATGGAAATGTCGATGCAAGGCTACTTATGGTCGCGTTTTATACAAGTCACATGTTCTATACAGGCAACTATTAGCACAGGTGGAGGAATGGAAAACGGCAGAGGCACAAAAGGTTCAGAGATCCGAAGAAGTCCGAAGGTCAACCCCCCACTCTTCCATAGGCCAAGGTCCTTCTTCAAGGAGAACATATGTTAATTTCCCTAGTGAAGGTATCCTAGTTCGATTTGATGGGGCTACAAAAATCCCTCAAGGATGTTCAACTGGCTTTGTTGGCTTTTCAGGTGATGGAAATATCTCATTTTCAGTTGGTAAATCCTATCAGGGTATCACGGATGCCTATATATCAGAATTACTTACTATTCGTGATGCTATGAAATGGTGTCTCACCCATGACTTCTTGACTGTTGTTTTTTGTGGGAACTCTCAATTGGTCATCAAGGATGTGACATCAAGGCAGGCTTCGCATTCAAGAGTGGGAGCCATTCTAGAGGAAGTTCACTCTCTCTTTCCCTCCTTCCTGTCAGTCTCGTGTCTTTTTGCTCCTCAGAGCTTCAATAGAGATGCCCACCTCGTGGCAAAACAGGCTCTTTTATCGGGAGTCCGATTGCATATGGACTATCGTTCTTTATTAGTGTCTTTCTTGTAATTGTGTTGTCCGGCCATGCCCTAAGGATATCTTGGATAAAAAAAATAATCATACACCAACGATCAAGGACTTGGTAATACCACTAGTCTCTTGAACCTGAAAGTCTCATATTCGGATATCTTAAGCAGTACCTAAAAATTAATCATACACCACAAAGACAACATATAATATATGATTGAGACCCCGTAATATTTAGAGGCCGCAAGCTCCAACACACTTTATTGTTCACCTCTTATAAAAAAATATAGTAAATACAATTTATTAGCCAAACCTTATAATGATTCTAAAATATTAGCCAATCGTTTGAAAGTACATAATATTATCCAGACCTTTCATAATGTTGCAAAAGGATTGCCATCTTTCGTTAAAGTTAACGTTAGCCATAACATAATAACAAGTAAGCTGATTTTCAGTGCACATGTTTGACACATTTGCAAATTTATAATTTTAAGTTTATAATTAAAAAATAAAAATCTATCATACTTTTCTCTATCTAGTCATCATTAAAACGAAAAAAAAAAACTCAAAACTCCTAATTTCCGATTCCAATTCTTCTTTTTATTCATTTTGTGATTGTGGTTTTGACCCACATCCTCTATGTTCCACTAGGTCTATCAACCCACAAACAATAATGATCCCTATTTCTAGAGACAAGGAGACAGTGAATAGCAAATGGAGTTAGATATGATTCAATATGTTCATCTTCTACTCTCCTTCTTCCACAATTGAGCGACGATTCGATGGCTTCTATGACTGGATATGGAAGGTGGCACGAAAAGAAGACAAGAGGGGAGGAGGTTTCGGTTTGAAGAATTCTTGTAACTTGGTGGTCCCTATCGTCAAGTGGAGGTGATTTGAAGAACTCTTGTGATTTAGTGCCATAAGCTTCACTGGATGGCTTGAAGACTCCCACATCCATGTTATTCACAAGTTCTTCGAACTCTCTTTTGCTAGCATGAGACAATGAGTCACTACAACAAATTTGGCCTATTAGGACAAAAAAATTATTTTGTCATTTCCTTTTTGTCACAATAGGTACTATTATATGACAAAAATAATATATGTCCTATTTGGTATACCTAATGGGACAAAAATACTGTTGTCAGAATAAGTCGTCATTTAAAGTGAGTAATGTGACAAATATTTCATGTCACAATTAATTTTGTCAAAATAGGCGTCCCATATCGGGATATAAGAGACTCAATAGTGACAAATTTCTTGTAGTCTGAATCGTTTGTCATTTAAAGTGAGTAATTTGACAAATTTTTTGTCACAATAGATAGCAATAATCCTACGACGAGCTGACAAAAGGGCATGTTTGTCATAATATAGTGGTTTCGGCTTTGACAAAAGGCATGTTCGTCATAATATAGTGGTATCGTTTTTGACAAAAGGCATTTTCGTCAGATTAGCTTGTGTTAGACAAAAGACATTTTGAAGTCGGTTTCTTGGGAACCAACTCAAAACCAAAATTTTTTGAGTTTGCCTCCCAAACTTTCACTTCTGTTTTGGCGGAGGAAAATTGAAATTTTCAAATTTTGAGATTCCTCAAATTTTAAGTTTTTCGCGGTAATCAACTTTACCTTCTCTGTATTTGTTTGCAATTAATTCACCTCCATCTGTATCCCTTTATATTACTCTCTCTTCTTCCCTAATCAAATGACTTCGCCTCCTATCTCAGAATCGGCGCCCCACAAACCCTAAACGAATGCTCTCCTCCCTGGCTCCGTCACACAGATCCAACCAACACCATCTCTGGCACCGACCTTTGATATCCCACATAGCAGGTCTATTGCGTACTGGGCCTCAACTCCGGTGTTGCGATACAGCGACGTGGAAGGCACTGGCGATTCTGGCCGATGAACTTCTAACCCTTTTGCAAGCTTCGATCCTATGCTGAGGAGCGATTTTGGACAAAGTACTTGCGCGAATCGAGGGGATGACTCAGTCTCGGCTCGATGACGCGGGTAGTTGACTCTGTCGCAACTCGGAGACTCGGCAGGTTTCCTACACTGAACCAGATCAGAGAAGGTATAGAGAATCCCTCTTCTAATTTTGTCTGTCTTTCCCCAATATCCATCTCAGTTCATCTGGTATGATTTTGATTTTCTAGGGTCAACAACCTGCCTTCTTCAACATCATCCCAGATCCGCCATGGAAGTGACGGTTTGCGGTGCATCGACGTGGATCGACTGCTAGAGGAGCAGCGTGCTGGTGACAGTTGGGAAAGGAACCTACGAAGATGGGTTTGGGGGGATCTTTTGGGGTTCGATTGAGGTGGACGAGTGTTGAATGATGGGTTTTGTTTTGTTTGGGAGTTTCAATTTATGGGTTTGGGGATATTGTGCTGGGGGTTCCAATTCTGGAGGTGGAGAGCGAATATGGGAGATTGCTATTTTTTGGGGTTCGATTAAGGTGAAAGAAGGGTCGTCGACACAGATCTGGTCGTCGAGATAATATGCAGTTATGTCAAAATATATTCATCGTATGATCGTGTAATATGAATATCAATTTTGACAAAAGCATCAAATTATGACAAAACTAATGACATAATATTTCGTCACAAAAGCTCATTTTGTCACAATAGACTAACTAGAACATGAGCTGAACTGACAAGCCAAAGTCCAAATGTGACAAACCCTTCCTTATTGTGACAAAACTATTCGTCAGTTTTTTACCAATTATATGACACGAGAATATGTCGCAATATCATACAACAAATATTACAACGTTATTTTAGAAATTTGTCACATTTGACCTATCTTGACGGCGATAAAATGAGAAAGCTTTGTGACAACACATTTTGTCATATTATACCTAATATGACAAAATGGGTATCTAATATGACAAAATTGCCTCGTCATAATAGGTCGAATTTGTTGTAGTGAGTTTCCCTCTTAAGATTCCTTTGAAATAAATTATATCTACTTTCCATATCCACCAGGAGAGTGTTATCTATGTCTTCCAAATAGTTTGAAGTTAGGGATTCAGAGGAGTCACATTCAGATCCTCCAAAAGAGGAGTTCGATGAAATAAAGAATATCCACTCATCAGCATTCAGACTCGATTTGTAAATTACGATTCTCATAGTGATCCTTCTTGCAAGAATATTGATCAATACTCTGGAAGAGGCTAGGAATGACCTCCAATATAGGATAAAGTAGTCTCTATCTGTATCCATGTTGAGTAATACAAAGTTAAGAGAAAAGAGGAAGGGTCCAATCATGATTGTGATATCTTTAACCATCACTCTAGGATGAAATTTTATGTTGTCGCTAGCTTGATGTCAATGACTACATCCTCTAGGTTGTTAAGCCTTAATTAGAAACTTATACACATAGTACGACATCAAGTTGAGGCTAGCTTTGAGATTAGTGAGAGCATCATTCATATGAAGGTTATTGAGGATGCATGAGATAGTGAAGTGTTAGGGTCGGTGACCCACTCAAACACAACACCAACTACGACCAAGTTAATCGTAGAATGGAAATGCAGTATAGTGGGACGAGTAATAAAAGTCAACCCTGGGCCTAGATGTACTACCTACTTCGTAAAATTTTATTATCTAGCAGAAATAGTTGAGTGAGGTGTTCAAAGCAAATTAAACAGAAATCAGTAAATGTTCTGGTTTTCAAGTTCGAGAAGGAACCACTGAGGCAATGATTCCCCCTAAGCTGCAGTTAAGTCGAGTTGTAATTAACCCAGTCCAATTCAATTCAAATTTATACTGCGGAAGATCCAGGCCTAGCTTGGAATCTCTTAAGATGACCAACCCCTCTCAGACATGATACCCGACATGCGACTAACCTTCACCGAGGTAAAGCGCTAAGGAAGTAAAAAAAAAAGATCTCCTCTACTGGGATGAATTCTAGTACAGAGCAATGAATCGATTGACTCTGGCACTATCGATTCGCCACTTCCAAATAAAGATGCTCTATTGACCTATTTAGATTCTATCGTTCTATGTCAAAGCTAAAAACATACACGTGTGATCAAGACTCATAGATATCCGAATAAAACCTTAATTGGATATATAATCATCAGAAAAGGGTTCATACAACTGTTCCTAACATGCAAAACTAGGGTTCTTCATACCCAAGTGGTAAAGAAGAGTTTACTCCATGGAGAGAAGAGAAAACACCAAGCTTGGAAGAGAAATCATCATGGGAATAATGAAAATCTGCTCCATGCTGGAAATAGGTACTCCGAGGGTTGTAGATCGAGCTCCAATGTCTTCAATTCACTCCAATCTATGCCCAAGGGTGTTCTTTTTGGAAAATTGTGGCTCCATGATGATCATCAATTTAGGGGAGGTTGTTAGAACATTTTATTATGTATTTCCTTTGAGTTGAGTGTTGGCTTGGATTTTGATCCATTTTATTGGCCCATGCATCGTAGTTAGACGTGTGAGGTATGTAGCTTAGAACTAGCTTTCATAATAAGTAAGTTTCTGACTTTAATGAGGCTTAGTAATATTTTGACTACCCCTGTTGGGGGACTATATATGCTTGTAAAAATGTACATAAACATTTGATAAGATTTATAGCTAAACACTTCTTCCTCTCTCGTGAACTAATCCCAATCCTTGGTAAAAGACATAAATATGGTGTCAAATATGAAATCTTTAGTTTGAAAATCAATGACAGTACCACTAAACTGATCCCACATTCCGTACATGGATTCTTGGTTAGTTGTAACAGGAACATTCGTGTACTCACATTTGTCATCAATAAAAATAGAGAAGGTGCGAGTTGATTGATGGCAATACATAGGACCTCATGTCATTGCTGGATTAGTTGTAATACTCAATATTTTTCCGTTTCCTAATATATGATTCCAGTAAAAATTAAATTGAAAACACCCTTTTTCTACTCTTCCTTCCTCCTCCACTGCCAAATAGAATATCTAAGAAATTCGAAATAAGATTTATACACAAACCCTAATATGCTGCCAGTTAAGTTCCTTATATAAGGATGTTATAACTAGAGTTGCAAATGAGTCGAGTCGAGCTGAGTTTTGGCTTAACTCAGTTAGAAATCAATTAAATATCCAGCTCAACGACTTGAATTCGTCATGAGCATTATATTTTAAGCTTGAGCTCAACTCATAAAATAAGATGACAACTCAAGCTAAGCACGATAATAACTTGATAATAATCTCAACAAACTCAACTAGATAGTGAAGTTCATAACTACCATCTTCAAAAATAACCCAAAATCATAATGGGATTTAACAAAGGATTATAAAGGTATAAAAAATGCAGCACATACAAAAGGACCACTCGTTAGAACTCTTCAATGCTTGTTCAGTAGAGAGATGCCACCTACGATTATATACTTAGTGAACTATGGGAACTTTCTTATCCTCTCCATGTGGTAGAAAATATATACACAAGCTACATATTCTATCTTTCCCCCCTATATCTCCCTCATGTAAACCAACCCCTTCACCACAAGCTTGCCCACTACTTTGAGCTTTAACCTCTCGACCTCTCCAAGCATCAATGGTGCAAATATGACCAATGCTTTCCTCCAAATCAAAACCAACTCTCCTTCTCTCCTCTCTTTGCCATAAACGCCAAGGCTGGTGCTAGAAGGAATGGCAAGTTGGCAACGAAGGCGTAGGTGTATAGGTAATGCGTCGAAATGAGCTATATGGTTCATTGGTTGGAGTGATAAGCTTATTTGTTATGATAAAAAGTTTCACTTAGACTACTAATTGAAGGAGTTATGTGGTTCATTTGTTCGAGTGATAAGCTTATTTGGTTCGATCGAAAGTGTCGTGGGGACTAATAATGGGAGTTGCAAGGGAAATTGGAAGGAAGCGGTTGTCATCGCTTGACATTTTGTTCTGCAAATGAACTTGGCAATTCGGCAAACTACTCCTTAGACTCTCTAATCGTCGCTTGCACGACCTATTTGAATTAAAGAAATTCAACAAGATAACAAAAGATTTTATATTCTTTTAATTTAAGTTATTTGAAAGTCCTGGCTATAGCTTCATGTTGAAGAAGTTACAGTTATATTGAATTAATGTTTTATTCTAAAGGCATGATGACTTGCTCTTGTTCATATGTTATCCAGCTACCATGAGAATCCTACGTTATTAGATTCATAAAGAAGCATTTGAAGAGGACTGATAGTCTTTATCACCAATTTCACATATTACTCAGATATTGTTCATTTTAGTTGTGATTAAACCTCGATTGACTTGTCGTCCACCATGTGGTAGCGCTGGTAGCTGCTGACAACATATTTCTCTACTCCAGCCTTCTCAGTGTCATAATTATTTTAGAGAGAATCTCAGACCATCATCATGGTTTTATTATGATCCGCATAGCAGTTGTAGAGATCATCAGCCAGGATGTTGAGGATGTAGTTCTTGCACAGGAAGTAATCATCTTTCGCCTTTGCAGTAGTAGCCTTCTCTACATCGGCTGCTTCTTTGGCAGTTTCGTCGGCATGGAGGTGAGGGAGTGTGCCAATTTCTTGGTCGTCAGGTAGAACAACATCTTATGTCTCCAGTGACGAAAGTTCACTCATAGGAGCGGAGTCGCCAAATCCGGTGTTGGTCGGTCGCCATAGCAGCAATACAATGTCTTAAAATTGTTTTTTTTAAAGATGTCTTAAAATTGTTAGAACAAAAAAATGAAACTAGGGTTCCCGAAATCTGGCTGAGTCATGGCTAGGTCCATCACTTTAAGACGTTCGTAGCACTGCCTCTTTGTGCACAATATACTATCAGTCAGTCACCTCAAGGATAAAACAACCACTCCTTTGTTGCTTGGTGATTTTGTGCGAAAAGCGGAGCTCTTTGAATCTCTCTCTCTCTGATTCGGGCCCAAATGTACACTTTTTATCCCCGTTTCTCTTTGGATTTTGTGGCATTTGAGCTCCATAAAGGGTGGTTTACGCTAGATTTGTTGTGTTTCAATGTGTTTCAGAGTCTAACAGGTGGAACCAACCCCGGAGTCGAAAGTTGGAAGAAATGGCACGAGGACCGGGCAAAGAGGAGGAAACAGCCACTGTTCACAGACGCCAGGACCGTGAACTAGAGCCACGAATTGCGAACTGAAGGGTGTCCAGAGAGGTTTTGGAAGTGACTAATGCCGACACAGTTCAAGGTCGTAAGACCGTGAACTGAAGCCATGGACCGCGAACTCAAGAAATGAAAGCGGTGTGTTTTGGATGTGTTCACGGTCCAGGCCCGATGTTCACGGCCGTGAACTGGGATCGCGAACTCGGCTCGATCAGTGT